ATGGATTGTGATAAGAGTTGTATTAGCCCCCAATAAAATGACTCAAAAACAAAAAACTTTTGTACCATAATAAAGGATAAACTCGCTGCCATTGAGTCAATGCTGACCCAGAGTGACCTGCTGTGTGTTTGTGAGACTGTAATTGCTTATACGAGTAGAAAGTCCAGTCAGTCTTTCTCTTGCTAGAGCTGCTGGTGGTTTTGAGCTGCCGACCATGCAGATCATAGCCCAATTTGTAACCTCTACACACCACCAGGGCTCCTGCAATCAAGAATATAACATAGGTATCTGTTTTTAGCACCCACCACCCAACATACACACCAATCATTTCAGTGCTGGAAAACATCGATCTAACATATAAAAAACTTTAGAAAATAAGGCTTTAAATTATAAAGATGAGAAGACTGGAGCCAGTATCCACTGTTTGCAGAAAAGACATGCAGACATGCTGGGCCAATAGGTCACAGCCCATACCCCAGTGGACACTGAGATCTCCCTAAAGAGAATGGGGTTAATAAGGGCTGACAGGTCACAGGGATTCATAGATACAGGATGCCATAGTCCTGGTAACCAGACCCACTTTCTGTGGTCAGTGAACACAGCTCAGAAGGGTTTCTGGGGACAGAGAACTACTCTGGTTCCATTCTTCCAAGCATTGAGATCAACAAAAGAAATGAGCATCAGTGAAGGGCGGGTCAAAAGTATTGAAGTGAAGGGCTTCCTCTTCACTGGCTCCCAGCAGCAATGCCCAACATGTGTACCTAAAGTAAAATGCTACTGAAATTTAAGTGCTCGTGGGACTAGCTGAACTTACTTATAGCAAGTCTACCACTCAGCTCTCTCCTAGCTTTCATTCAGGGAGAAGTCCTCCAGGCAGCTGAGTCCCCTTGCCTCCTATACTCTCTATGTCAGAAGGAAGTGAGATTATGCCATGCCTTCATGGAAGCCTCTTATAGCATCTTGTCATGTGGAATTCAATCCAAACCCTCCTTGTTCAGGAACTAGCTCCCTTGACCTCCTGGGCACACCATACCCAATCTCCTGGCCTTTTTTTCATTGGCCTCAAGGCCCTAGTCCCTGCTCAAAACCACCCTCAATGGGGTCAAGGAATGGGACACAAGGTCATGAACTACAGTGCTCCCCTTACAAGAAGACTCTAGGACCATTATTTTACAGATAAGGAAACTGAGGCTGAATGATGCCTTGTCCAGGCTTCAGTTCTACATCTTACCAGGAGTCCAACCATACCAGTTGAACCCAGGGGTGCAGTGACAACACACAGAGTGGTCAGATGGAAGGGACATCTTTCCAAGGAAAGGCCATATCTGCCACCCTCCCACATGAGCTGCTCCACACCCCCCGCATGGTTAGTTTGGTTGGCAGCCCTGGAGATGGATGAGATACAATCTTCTTCCCAAGGAGAATTAGGGGCTTAGAGTAATAGAAGAGGGGTGGAGATGAGTGAACCCACATGGGCACACCTGGATCCCCCAGCTTCCTACCCTGTGGCTGTCCTAGCCCGCACTGGTGATGGCTTTACCCTTCAGCTGCTCAGCCCCTCTCAACTCCCTGCTTCTACTGTAGGCCTCTGTCAGAATGATGGAGGTGGGGACTATATATTCTCTGGCCTCTTTGCCTCCATTCTAGTCCCCACAGCCCATTTTCCATGTGGCAGACTGTCCATGACCTATGCAGAGCTCTCATATTTATCCTCCCATGATATGCTCATGATGCTAGCAGCACACCCCAGGCATACTCAGGCTGTCACTGTCCCTTCTCCCCACACAGTCCCCATGGACTCACTATTGCATTGTTTCCCTTGATCCCCACTAGAAGTTCAGCTTCTGGGGCCAGGGCATATGGTACAGGTCTCACTGAGTAGGATGACCACCTTACTTTGCTCTGCCAAGTGCATCTGTTGCATGATCAGCTAACTGTGTGGCACATAATTTTATGTCAACTTGAATTTTTGTGAAAATGTAGGGGTGGAATTTAACATGTCAATCAGATCACAGTCTGATGATGCCTCCTTGGGTGTGTGGCCTTCCTATAAGAAGCTGAGAATTTCTCTTTCTCTCTGCCTTCCTGCCTGCTGGAACTTGCCTGTCTCCAGGGGCAGCCCCATGTGGGCTGCCCGTCCTTGAAAGCTGTCAGCACCCTGGCAGGTTTCCACCAATTTTGGAGCCACATGATTCTGCACCCACCACTCTGTGCTTCTCCTGTTTTCTGGTTCACTTTACTGTGAACCAGTTTGCAGCTACATGAGTCTGAAAAAGGACTTACTAACTAACATCAGAGTTATGTACTTGAGTTGGACTGGGCTGGGATGCCTTCTTTTGATATAAGATTATTTGTTGATATATTTGCTGTTCTTTCTTCTACATATGAGTGCCACTGGATTTGTTTCTTTAAACAATCTGGGCTAATACAAGCTGTGACAACTAGGGGTGTGAAACTACCCATAAATCTTTTCTCTCTTTTATTTACTTATTTTTAATTAAAAAAATCATTTTATTGGGGCCTTGTACAACTCATCACAATCCATACATACACCCATTGTGTCAAGCACATTTGTACATTTGTTGCCATCGTCATTGTCAAACATGTGCTTTCTACTTGAGCCCTTGGTATCAGCTCATTTTCCCCCTCCCTCATGAACTATTGATGATTTATAAAATATTGTTATTTTGTCATGTCTCACACTGTCTGACGTCTTCCTTCACCCACATAAATCTATCTTTTAAAGTATTCTCAGACAGATTCATTTTACCTTAATTCCATCGAGCACCTGGGTTGTTTCTTTTTTTTTTTCTTACACATAATTAGGGCCTATAGGGGTGGTTGCATCTGAAGTGAAAGAAGACATTTTTCAGGCAAAGAAGTGTGTGATGAAAGTGGAAGACAATGCTGCCCTGAAATAACTCTGTAAGCAGCAGGCTGGCCTCTGGAAGGACTGACTACACTGATGTCTAAGAAATAAATGTAAGCAGGGTTTTGGAAATGCCATGTCTCTTTCCTTCTTAGTCCTTTGTTCCCATCAAAGTGAGACTAGGTAGGGGAGGAAAAAACATATGGAACATAGAAAATGTTCCAGTTGACCACTTTGGATGACATGCTGTTCTAGACACATGACCTGGCCTGGTCCAGAGTTGCTCCCTGCCCCGTACATCTGGGAAATCACAAATATTGTTGTTTTCAGGTACAATGAGCAAGTTGATGGGTTATACAACAATACTATGGCAACAAATCATTGACCCATCTCTTTGCTTCCTTCCTCTCACCTCCTTCAGTTCTTGTGCCACTGAGGCAAGCCGCTCATTCTCCGATTGAGTGTTGGTAAGGACGTTGCGTAGCTGCTTCAGCTCTGTTTGTAGCTCCAGTACTTTCCTCATGTAGTACTGTTCCTTAGAGGCTGACTCCTGGATCAAACTCTCTTCCCGGCTCTCACCATCTGCTGCCACCTTCTTGTGATTTGTGTGAGCCTGTCCAAATGCCTAGGTTGGGAGATACAGACATGAGAAAGGACCCAGAGTCACAGGGCAGCCAAGCTCCGAACTGACAATTCCTGACATTTACCCTCAGATACAATGAGCTAGAAGAGCTATCACAAGGGCACAAGCTAATGTTGTCCAACTGCATGACCCCCCGAAAGCCACAGGAAATCATACTGTAGTTACCTGGGAGTGGGAGGGAGTGGGGAGAAGGCTTACATAGGAATAGGGAAGAGGGTCTTAATAGACGAGAGGTGATTATGGGGTTAAATATGTATGTAAACTTCTCTGAGCTGGATATGACATTAGCTTGCTTAACTGTAATAAAAATAAACCTAAAATACCAAAACAGAATCTGAGCAGCAACCTTTTTGTCCACAGGAATGAGTGCTGACTAGGCCTTATCCTAAGTAGTAGGTTCCATCTACTTCTTTGAGATGACCACCTGAGGAGTCAATACAGAGTGACAACAGAGCCTGCTGGTGGCACACTCCACAGTATTCATATGGGCTCATTTCTACCTTACTCATGTAATCATATTAACCAAGCCTGTCTGTAATACTATTGAACATAGGTGGTAATCCAGTGGCTGACACAGTAGGCCTGGCCATGCATAACCACGCATGCCAGCCAGTTTCCACTGCTCCAGGCTTATGTGTCACCTTGAATTCGAGGCCCATGCCCTGCTCTGCCCTAGATCTCTGCAGCCAAGGGTCTTCTACCTTAAGAACCTCTTGCTCTCAAACCTTAGGTCCTAGTTTTCATCTAGAGTGATCTGTAAAGTTGCCTGTGGCTATTGTCCACAATCCCTTACCAACCCAAAAGCCTCAAGATAGGTACTGAGTGAAAAGAGGACCACAAGAGGTTGAAGTATATCCCATCATCTTTTCCCTGAGGAGGTTGTGGCTTTGAGAAATTCTCCCATTCCATTAATGGGAACACAGGCTCAGACAGTGCCTCAGCCCACCATGACTACTCTAGTCAGGTGTAGAGGAATCTGCCTTTGCTCTAACCTTACGTTCTCTGGACTTTTAACAAGGTCTCGATTCACAGAAGGAAAATAAAGCCAAAAGAGGGCTGCTGAAGAATAAGGAAAATGAATGCATTTTCTTTTTTCTTAAGAAAACCAGTAACAATTTCATTGATTTACTTTTTAATGTTAAGTTTAGGAATAGTCTAAGAAAATAGTAGGATGGGTGAGAATCCAAAAATGGGTACAAGGATGTTTACTGAGCAGGACTGTTTATTTTATCAAACAAAAGAAAAAGAAAATAACTACTTTTTCTACCATAGTGTTGTCGAAACAATGAAATCCCATGCAGCTGCTAAAGGGCTCAGGTGCTAACAGGGTAGAACATATGAAGAGGCAAATAGACTTTACGTAACACGTGTGGTATCCTGCTTCAAACAGCACACGTGTGCAATAGTCTTAGTGGAGAAAATGGTCCATGAAGAAAACAAAACCTACTGCCACTGCAACCCTACAGTACAGAACAGAACGGTACCCTGTGGGTACCAGGGTTATAGGAGGCGAAAGCCTCATCTTCTGCTGATGGAATGGTAGTTTCAAACGCTGCCCTGTGTTTAATGGCCATAACCACCACATCACCATGGCTCCTTGAACAAAAGCAGTTGGACAATATAAGAATAACCTTATGTTTCCCAAAGTGGGTGAGACTGCCCTCTGGGGAATGGTTGAACGATCCAGGGGAGAATGCAAAAGCAGATACCTACACTTTATCTGGAACCTTGGTGGTGTAGTGTGTTATGCATTTGGCAGTTTGAAACCACCATTAATTGGGGAAAACAGACTTTCTATCCCTGTAAAAACTGACAGTCTCAGAAACTCACAGGGACAGTTCTACCAAGTCTTGGAGGGTCATCGTGAGTCAGAATTGACTTGATGGCAGTGAGTTTGGTTTTTGGTTTGTGCACTAAAATTTTTAATTGCCAGGGGTGGGGGTTATTGAAAGAGGATGAAGGCCAATATATTTGGGAACCTAAGGTCTGTACTGGCATTATAAGGAATGCCAGTGCTTTCACAGTGCTGACTGCATTTGAAGTTGAGGATTCCCTAACCAACCTTGCTCTGAGAAGCTAGAAATTGGCCAAAGATCCATCAGTAGAAGAATGGACAGAAACTGGTACACACGACAGAATACTGTTGTTGTTAGGTACCATTAAATCAGTTCTGAACTATAGCACAACAGAACAAAGCATTGCCTGGTTCTGGGCCATCCTCACAATTGTTCCTATACCTGAGCCCATTGTGGAAGCCATTGTGTCACTCAATCTCCTGTGGACCTTCCTCTTTTTCTCGGCCCCTCCACCGTACTAAGAATGATGTTTTTTTCCAGGGACTGGTCTGTCCTGGTGACATGTCCAAAGCATGTAAGATGAAGCTTTGCCATCCTTCCCTTTAAGGAGCATTCTGGCTGCACTTCTACCAAGACAGATTGGTTTCCCCTTTTAATAGTCGATGGTATTTTCAATATTCTTTGCCAGCATCACAATTCAAAAGCATCAATTCTTTGTTGGTCCTCCTTATTCAATGTCCAACTTTCCACATGCATAAGGCAATTGAAAATACCATGGCTTGGGTCAGGCGCACCTTAGTCCTCAAAGTAACATCTTTGCATTTCAATACTCTAAAGAGGTTTTGTGCAGCAAATTTACCTAATGCAATATGTCTTTTGATCTCTTGACTGCTGCTTCCATGAACACTATGAATCCAAACAAGACAAAATCTTTGACAGCTTCAACCTTTTCTCCTTTCATCATGATTTGTTACCTATTGAAGTTGTGAGGATTTTGGTCTTCTTTACACTGAGTTGTGATCTGTACTGAAAGCTGGAATCCTTGACCTTCATCAGCAAGTGTTTCAAGTTGTCCTCACTTTCAGCAAGTAAGCTGTGTCATCTGCCTATCTTAGATTGTTAATAAGCCTTCCTCCAAACCTGTCTCAGTCAACAAAATACAAGTAAACATCTTTCTAGTATTTTCTGCTTTGAGCCAATATCCATATGACATCAGTCCATCCTCTTCTGAATCCAGCCTGAACTTCTGGCAACTGTTGTTGGATGATCTTTAGCAAAATTTTACTTGCATGTGATATCAATGATATTGTTTTATAATTTGAGTATTCTGTTGGGTCACCTTTGTTTGAAATGAGTACAAATACAGATTCTTCCAATAAGTTGGCCAAGTAGCCATCCTCCAAATTTCCTGTCATAAACGAATAACTGCTTCATTTCAAACAGTATTCTATCAATTCTTGGAACATTGCTTTAGGCTAATGTTTTGTTTTTTATTTAAATCATTTTATTGGGGGCTCTTACAGCTATTCTCATAATCCATACATCGTGTCAAGCACATTGTACATATGTTTCCATCATTTTCTTTTTTTTT